CGCTTTGTTAATCCTTTTACAGCTTCAGAATTAGAAACTCTTTTTGCCATAATTGACAGTTCAAACTTTAATTTTCAGAAAAATGCTGTAATAATAGCAGCCTGCAAAAAATAATAAGTTGGATCAAATCAGAAGGTTAAGGGATAGGGCAATCTGCCATATTAACTGAAATTACTTGGAATCATTACTGAAATTACTTGGATTAAACTTATACATTACGTATAAGTTTAATCTAGCATAATAACGTCTGCTATACATTATTGCCTATGTATCATGAGATTGCCAACAAAAGACAAGTTCTTCTGCTAAATTTTGTTTTTCTTCTATCATGCACAGAAGCATTTAAGCCTGAATTGTATTAATTTAGTTATTTATATTATTTATGTCTATTTTTCACATCATTATCTGAGTCCTGAATAAATAAATTTGCATATATACGTAAGGCTTATCAAGAGCCACTGCTAGATAGCTTACTGCCTGATGCAGTCTCTGGGTGTCCTAAATTCTGCTTCCATGCACCTCCCTAAGTTTTAAATTTTGGGTCCCAGTACTTTCCCTAAATTCTAAAAATTTTGTCATTCCTTAATTTTTCTGCTCAGTGCTTCCCAAATTTTGTCTTTCCTAAATTCTGCCTCCCAGTGCGGCCATATGAGCTCTGGCGCCAATTCTGTGGGTGTATGTGAATAAATGTATGTGAATAACAAATGTATGTGAATAACAATCAGTTGTTCTTAATTCAAATATCACTAAATGTCTATGAGTATCAATAACAAAATCTGTTTTTAGCATATGGAAAGAAATTTTTGTTAAAGTTTTTTCGTCAACATTTCTTAGTGCACTTAACTTAAATCTGTAATGATCGCCAAGCGTAATGTCAACATAAAAGGTTACCATACTTTTTCTATTCGATTACTAATATTAAAAAAAAAAAAAAAAAAAATCTTTAGGCATCACTGCAGGAGTCATTACTCAGGTTAACATGTGTTGATAAACACAAATATAATACGAAAGCAAAATATAATAATGATTCACCAGGTTGGTATCAGGGATATAAAATAGTAGTGTAAAGTAGACGATGTTTCTATGTAGAATGTTTCGGTTTGAGAAGTATGCCAAGCAGATACGCAGCTACGGGGCCAAATTATTTATGACACAAATTTATAGTAAAATGATTGTTTCTTGAATAACAAGGTATTTTATTTTGTGCCAAAATGAAATTAAGAATCTGAACTCTCTGCATGTTTTACTATGGGGGAAAAAATACGATGTGCACGTGTAAAGCATACAATAACAAAAAATTTATAATTAAAAATGTGATTCGCCGTTTCTAGTGAATCAGTGCAAAATGCCAGAACGAAATTAATAGCCCTTCTGAGCAAATTTCCCCTTTGGTCTAAAAAGGTTGTTGGTGGCTTTGAAGTTCGGATTTTAGATTATTCCGGATATTGCACGTCTGAATCTTGAACTTTGTACTGTATCACATATTCATTCATTTCCAATGTTAATTGAAAAAAAAAATTATTGTCATGTTATAAATGTATATAAATTCATCTAAATGAATCCAATAGCTTCTAAAACATAGATACTTTTTTTCTTAAAGAAATATTAAATACTGTATTTGTTGATGCACTTTCTCTCTTAGCTTAATCATGAGGCTCTGAAAATTTGTTAAATATTAACGCAATTTTCCTCTTCCTTGAGGCATTCTGAAAGCAAGCAGCTTAAATTTTAGGAGGGATGCATTCAGTTAGGAATTATTTTATTTTACTAGTTGATTTGCCGATGGGTTTTGTGTTAATAGGCTCCAACTGATGAAGTAATAGTAGTGAACAGCATCAAGAAAATAGGGATATCTAATGCTCATGATGGTACTGGAGATCACTGCATATGGGAAGACGATTGAGTGGTGACAAAAACGCTGGCAATGGTAGTCATGGCAATGACGCAATCTTTAGCGGGTGGCACAAAGAGCAGTTTCAATGGCATTAAGTGATTTGAGTCTTAAAAAGTAGTAATGAACAACGGTGGGTGTGGGTGAGATTCGAAATACGAGGAAATAGATATAAAGATGTCCTATTAGGTATTGTAATGTTAATATTACTATGCATTCTTATTGGAATCTAGGTTTCTTTTAAATAAATAATACTGTGAAAATTACTGGTAGTTTGATCCATGAATACTTTCACATCCTTTGAAAATTAAATTATCCACATAATTTTACTTTTTTTTATTTTTATAGGATAAAAATAGTTAAAAAAAAAGACAAAAATATGCAAGTAAATACAGTGCATAAATAAAATAACAGCAAACCTAATTTTAAATAGACTTAAATAAGAATTAACAGTGGAGCTTTAAGGCATAAGAAAATTGCTTTGTGCTATTTACTTGGCAATAACTGACTGCCGCAGTATGTTTTTAATTAAAATTATAACTGGAAAGCATAGGAGAGAACTTTAATTTCTTGGTTTTCGATCTGAGCATGCATTAATATTTATTTTCTTGTTTATTTAGCATTTACAGGGAAAATACTTTTGTAAACTTTGGAAAATTTATTGGAAAAAATAGCAGAATTTATAATTTTTCTTAATGCTGATTGGGAGTTAGACAAAACTTTCCAAGAAATAGCCAAAATGAGCTTGCACGTTTGCCTCAACTGAATTTTTTATTTATTATAACAAAAATGGCTTTTCGTGCTAGTCAAATATTGTTTTCCTTTATGTGGTTAATCTTGATGGTTGTGTAAAAGAAAACCCATCAACACATGAAATCTCAGTATTCCAAATGTAAAAAAATAAAAAGTTTAGTTTAAAAGGCACCTATACTGCAAAATTTTTAAATTAAAAACTTTTGCTTTAAATTGACCTTGATAACTGGTTGGCATAACTTAAAGCTACGTTCAGGGTTTTTTTTTTTTTTTTTTTTTTTTTTTTTTTTTTTTTTTTTTTTATAGAGTGTAATAGCTATGATATTTTTAAGGTTTAAAGTAAATCCAATAGGCTTCTGTATGAAAAAAAGAAAAAAAAAAAAAAAAAAGAGAGAGAGAGAGAGAGAGAAAGAAAAAAAAAGGGGGGGAATAAGGTGATGACATTGTGGGACTGAACATACTGTATTACTAAGAAGTTGTCAGTGTTTATGACAGCTTTTTGTTATGGCTAGTCTAAACTGTCAAAGAACTTCAAAATCAAATTATATGACCAATTTAAAGCTGAGATTGTGAATAGCAACTTGAAATTCAAAAGTTGTTTCTTAAGTTGCTAGTAAAAATTCTCTGTCTCTTAAATTAACCACCTTTAAATTATGGTTAATGTATTTTAGGAAGTTCCTATAGGTGCTTTTAAGCTTTATGTTTTGTAGATTTCAGGGGATTTGTAATGTCCAAAAGCTCACCATGAGTTATTGAAAACTCTAAAAAGCAAAACCAACCATCTCCTTTATTTTTCAGTATGATAACAAACCTTTTTAAAAAATGGATAATCCTTTTTTAATTCATTGTTAAACACACAGTACCAGTTTGTTATTTTTTAAACTAAACTGATTTAATCTGCAGTAAATGAGCACAAATCCTGACTAGCAGTTTGAACTCAATTATGATAGAACATGCACAACAATGATGTGGCCAGTGTAAATTCTAATGTTGGTCAACTCTAACTGAAACAATATATGTGAAAAATGAAATAAAAATATATGGATCTCAAAGGCTACATGCTGTTATAAAGTCCGTGAAAAATATCTTAATGAGAAAATAAAATATTTAAATTCATTAGGCCATTTGATTTAATTTAGGAGGTACATAGACAAATTAAAAATACTTAGATACAAAATATTTCGATTGGCAATTGATGAGTGTAACAGAGGGGATATTTTGTCTAATAAATCACTGTTATAATCGAGCTGCACTATTCTTACTTCTTGAATGTTTTTATTTCTTACTTTCTGTTCATATATGAACAGAAAGTAAGAAATTTAGAACTTATTTTAGACAAAGACCCAAAAAAGTGAATTTCAGTACCAATAAATTTTTCAAAATGTGGTATTAAGTTTCATTTTTGGGGGGGTCTTTGTGTAAAATAGGTTCTGAATTTATTAATTTTTGTCTTTACTGATCAATTTTCAGCAGCATATTATGCATTAATAATTATGTTTTTAAATAAAAAATTTATGATACTATATATATGTACAGTGGAACCTCGAGATATCAGTTTAATTTGTTCTAGCATTGAGCTCGTACAGCGAATTTCTTGTATCTAGAAACAAACTTTGCCATTGAATATAAATCCAGTCAATCCATTCCGCAGCCCAAAACATCTCTTTGCCATCTCCTCTTCAGTCAACGTACCTGGTGTTTTTTTGAGAAGGTCCTCAGTTCTTAACGCAAATCATAGCTTCTGACACCAAATCGCCTTGTAACTGCTTCTTGTTAATCCACACCAACAGCAGCTTCTCAACATCTTCTAGGAGTTTTGGACAGTGCTTGGAAATAACAGTAACTCCTTTGACCACATCAAGTTTCTTAATTTCTTTCTTCTTCTTCAGAATAGTGCAGATTGTTTATGTCGTATGGCCATAAGTCTTCTCCAGTTCCGTCACTCTTGCACCATGCTTAGGTTTATCTATGATTTCTTTCTTAATTTCAATGGCCATGGCTTCCTTCTTTTTCTTTGCAGTACTATCTGAGGCAACAATCTCCTTGGAAGGCATCATGAAATAATTATTTTCACGTTGAATGTTAAAAACAATTAAATAACAAGTGCATGAACATGTAGGTCAAAGAACACTGAATGATCTAACGAGGGGGTTCCTCGAGTCGAGCCTGATCGAGAAATGCACCACGCATACCAACAGCCTGTCTCGTTGAGTCAGTGCTCATATGCAGAGATGAATTTTTCGCTCATACTTTCCTCTTATCTCGAATTTCCCTTATATAGAGCTTATCGTATCTTGAGATTCCACTATATGCATGTTTTATGTAAATATATGCAGTTTTAAAATTTTTATTTTAGACTTTAGTTGAAAGCATGGAAAATACATGGCTAGGTTGTTGGAAAGGGCTTTGCCTTGGTAAGTCTGTAAGTGATGAAAGAACCAAACTGCTACTGACAAAAATGGATTCCATTTCTGAAATAGCTGAAACAGCTAACACAGATCTGTTACAGGTATGTTGCAAAAAGTAAATTTAGGTGTTTACATTGCTATAAGGCTACTAGTGATATATTGTTAATTTTATTTGATCCAGAATATTTATTTCATATTCAAAGAGATAATTTAATTATCATAAAGTATAAGAATAGCTTAATCTTCAGAAAAGTTGCGATGGTTGAAGATCAGATCTTCAACCATCGCAACCTATCCTTGAGTATATTTTGTTATTTATGTACTTCATATATATATATATATATTTCTTATTACTTCTTACATGTAAGTGGAAGAATATGCCACTTACATTGATTGGTATCTGCATGGCTTTCCTCATACAGTCACGTCATGCATACCTCATGCAATGCAAATGAGTTTTTCTCTGAAAAAGTCTTCTACAAAAGAAGACCTGAATTATTTTGTCATACTTACTTTCCATTCTTATGCCTATTAGAAAGTATGTTTTCAGATTGATTTGAGAAATTTTATGATTTTCCTATAACTGCACTTTTGGTTTATGCCTAAAAAAGAGGATCTGGTATGCCTGCATTATGATGTAACATCAAATCATATTTAGAAATAAAATTTTAGTACTTGCATATTATCATGTTGACAGTCACACTGATTAACATAAATTAACTGTTATTACTGTATTGCTGTATTTTTTCATTGCAGTTAAAAAAAAAAGTTATTAAAATCAGGGGTCTATCTTCTACAGAACAAGAGGATTATTTTCAAAGTTATGGGATCCTACCATCAAAAAAGTGTATTTTAATGAACACGATAGGGTCAACTGAGTATAGCCATAGACCTGTTATATACTAGACGGAGTATCGCCATTCAAAACCGGGTGAAAAAGCGGCACAGGAATGAGCTGCAGGAGTTTGGGCATGAAATGGAACTGAACTCAGACTTTGGCGTACTATCGCCATGGCTGGCGATTTTTCCTCTCTTTTCTCTTATTTCGAAATGCGAACTTGGAAAGATGTCATTTCGCAGAAGAGGTTAGATCAATAAACACCAGCCAAAATTATTAATTTCCCTAAAATTGGACACTTTATTTTAAATTTAAATTTATTTTAAATTTTAATTTTTTAAATTTAAATAATTTTCATGCTGTAGAATATATTTTGTAATATTTTCTCGGCGTCTACAAAATTTTAAAATAAAAGAAAAAAACTGGAGAGAACAAACTAAATAAAAAACTAATAAACTAAATAATAAACTAATAAATAAATAAATAAAAATAAACTAATAACAAACTAAAAAATAAATAAATAAAATAAATAAATAAAAAAGAAGGTTGTTTAGTACTTAGGACAGAATTAAAAAAAAAAATACATAACATAAGAAAAATGAGTGAAAACAGAAAATGGTACAAAAAGGAAATTTAATGTTAATACGAAAAGGAAATTTAACGTTAACACGTGTATTACAGAGAACTACAGAGTAGGCGAAATCAACGTGAGAAAGGCATTAAATTAAATGAACTAAAAATGAATGTCAATATAACAGATACAAGTTAAAAGGAAGAGAGAGACTGGTAAATTAATTATGAAACAAAAAAGTGATAAATTAAGACTTTTACTAGCAAAAATAAGTATATTATGCGCACGTTGCACAATGTAGTCGCACTGATTTTAAATAATTTTAGAAGATAAAATTTAAATAATGTTCATTATTTTTAAAAAGAAACTTAAAATGATTAAAGTTTTGAAATTTAACTGCTATATAATGACTATTATCTTAATACTTAACAAATTCTTAATATTAAAATAAATGACCAGAAACATGATATAAGAAAGAAAATACGTGATTGAAAGTAAACATATTTGTTATATTTGGATGCAAGAAAAGGGATAAAATAAAGTCATTCATGTCCCCCCCCCAAAAAAAAAAACATAATTTTATGCAGTTCTTACACAGTGTTACATCAACATTACCAAGTATTAAATAACATACATTACTACTTCGCACATGTCCGCATAAGCAAACGCATACAAAGAATATATAAACAAACGCATTCAAAGCAGTCTGTTGGGTATGAAAAAATGTCGCCAAAGCAGAATACTAGACTAATTAAAATTATATTGTATTAGTAAAATTTTAACATTTTTTTTCGGACACAGTTATTAGAAACATACATATATATTAAGATACTTTTATTTAAATGTTATTTCAAGTATGCATATATTATATAAAATTAGAAAATCTATTTTTTGTTAGAAAACGGCAAGTAGAGTGGATAAAAAAAACCTTTACATTTTATATAATTACGTTTTAAAACATAATAAGAAAAGCTCAGCTGTGAAATGTACTCCTCCACCTTTCACGTATCTGGAATTTCATCTATATGCGGAGCACGAAAGTACCACTTTTGAAGTCTGAAACAATGCGCGTACACGCAAAACATTTGCTTCTCACAAATTCTCCATAGAACTGTAATGGGAAGGAAGATCCGCCGGAAATACGATTTGGGAAATGTTCCAAATGTCACGTGGTTCGCATTCCTGTTCCCCTTCAGGGTTGCCGTTTCTCTCTCTAGTACATTACAGCTCTATGAGTATAGCTAACAAAACAATAATAGAAGAATTACCTACTTGTAGCATTGTAGCATTACCTATTTGTACTATTTTGTTACTGAAGCTTTGTATAGAATGCTACAAGAAGTTCCTACTTGTAGCATTCTAAGCAAAGCTTCAGTAACAAAATAGTAGACATCAACAAAAGTCCTTTTACAAAGTGCAAAAATGAAACAAGCCGAATACTGATTGCTCATTAAATAAATATGTAGATTCCTTCCAGAATCCTGCAGGAATGATTCATGCAGTTTTGGTAGAATGTCCACCAACTTTTATGGTTCGAGGGAGATAACTTTCATGGTGAAAGGGATAATAAAAGTACCAAAATTTTTACTTTATTAGTTTTTCCCCTACATTATTCCATAATTAAGGATTTTCTTTCCCGATATATATATATATATATTTATGTTGCATGATGTATGTTAATTGTATGCAGGTTTCGTACAGTCCTTAAGAGTCCTTAAGTTTTTTGGGATCTATTTTAGGTCCTTAATTTTGGCCCAAATCAGTAGAAGTCCTTAATTTTAATTACCTGAAATTTTTGTCTGTTTTTATGACTGCCATTTCGAGTGGGAATTAGCATTTTGGAAGAATATTTTTGACGATTCACTGACGTATATGGTTATCTTTTGAATGGGTTCATGGGTTATATTTGTTTCTATTTCTAATATAAATGATGGGATACTTGAGTATCTAAGCAAGAAGTAAAACATGAGCATTTCAAAATTCATTTTTTGTAATAAAGAGCTCTTAAACAATTTTCGGTTTTGGGGATGTGAATTCTTTTATTAAACGCTTCTAAATTTGGCGATTTTAAGATCAGTTTCTATAGAAAATTTTTAATTCCAAAATCTGAGAATTTTTTGACGATTTTTTTTTCAACATCATAACATTGATAAATTTCATTAAAATAATGGTAATATATTGGAATTATATTTAAAAAATAACATTAAAATAAAACATTTTTATTTTTCGCTGTCAAATTAAAGTTTCATTTTGGTAACTTATACAATATTTCGAATCTGAAAAATAAACAAGGTATAATGCTATAAAGCATAATTTACAAAACAGCTCTTAGCAAAAGCAAAATTAGCTATGTAATTAATTAAAAATGTCTTTTTAATTTTTTCATAATAAGCGCTTTCCCCATGCAATTGTCTCGGAATATGCATGTTTTCTCTATCAAATTAATTTTACACTTTTCCCCTCCTTTTTTTTTCCAAAATATTCATACGGCTTTTTGCTGTTACAGAATTTGTAGGGATAATTTTTCTTTAGGATTTTAGACATTGCAGCCTTTGGAAAAATTTAGAAGGATTTGAAGGCAAGATTTATAGACCCACGCTTCTAGAAGATTCGAGAAATATGTGACAAAATGAAAAATGTCTCCATGGTATCAACACGCGTAATGGATGTTATTTTACAGAAAGTTTGCGATGAATTTCTTACTTTTTGGAGAACATCTGGAAGAACAATGAAAACATAATATTTGAATGTTTTATTTCCTGATACTAGAATCTTTTTCTTAACATGTTTATCTTCCCTTTATTTTCACTACTTTTCACTAGCCACAAGTATGGAAAATATCAAAAATTCTTCTAATCTTATCACTTGGTCAGGCATTATAGAAAAGGATTTTTTTATTAATAAAAGAATTGAAAATTTACAGTTTAAAAAATCCATCTAATATGTCTTAATGCATCATACACAGAGCTGGCAATAGGCCTTTTCCCATCTGATGCAATGTCTGTGGATCTTAAATTCGACTGCATAGTGTATTCAACTGTACTTGTAAGGATCCTCCTCTTCTAAATTCGACTACACTTGTAAGAATTATGTTAATTTTATTAACAGTTAAATTTTTAGTTAAACTTCCTTTCCTATCACTTCTTAATTTCAGCTTACCATTTCCGGCCAGAATATAGTTTTAGAATCACGTCTGAATACTAATGGGGAAGAACGGTATTTAACCTCAAAGTTCTACTGTCTTAATGAGAGAGATACCAGGTATTCTGGTTAGCACGTGTCCGCTTTTTTAGGCTACTCTTTTGTAAGCTATTATTACGCTCGGCCGTACTTTAGGCCCTTGATAGCTTAGCAGTCAATTAGCGTTAAGGGGTCATCTCTGTTAGAATTTTGAAAGCTTCTGCTGTATCTCTTTACTTAAGATTAGATTAGTTTAGTTTAGTTCTTAGTCTCTTAAGTTCAAGTCCGAGTGTCGGCTTTATTGTACAACTCCAAGACGGAGTTCTGTTAAATTTTACTTGAATAATAAAAGGTCTTTTAACCCTTTCCAAGTTTATGCACTGTTTCATGAACTCAAGCGATTATTCCCTTGCTAGTTCTTAAGATTCTTCACTTTTCACTGAAACTTAGAATTACACAGTGGAGAATCCTACAGCCTTTCTAAATTCTGCTTTCAATGCCTGCTCTAAATTCTAAAAGTTTTGCCATTGATTTTGTTGTTTGGTGTGTCCCTAAATTCTAAAAATTCTGCCACAACAGCTCTGTAAACCGGCCTTTACCATATATATCAGATTTCATCTGAATTTCATATTACTAAAGAAATTAAATTAGTCACTTTTTCTATATATTCTAAATGCATTTAGTGTTTTTTAGAAAAATATAAATCCTTAATTAAATCCCAAAATTCTAAAATGAAAAGGAAACATGCTGAAGAAAGAAACTGAATACATAAAAAAAATCATTCTTCAAAGATATGTGCAGTTATTATTATGTAAATTATCCAATTGTTTATGACTTTAGCCTTTATTATAATTTTCGAGTTCGGATTAAAGACTTTTGACTGTATATCAGATTGGGCTTATTTTAGAGTAATCGTATACCAAAGCACCACTGCATTTCTAGTATTCATGTGCATGTATATGAAGTACTAAAATCACAAATGCAGAAATAGAAATATGGCAGATCTTAACAGGATTAGCTATTATTATAGCAAGTAAAGTAATGACAAATTTATCTAACTTATTTAACTAACTATACATGCATCATAAAAGCATAGTTAATGATATGCTTGACTACTGGACATGTAAAATAGATATTTATTTATGTACATGTAGTTGAGTTTTGCATTGTTAATTTATGTATGAAATATATTTTTACAGTGTTTGCTGGACTCTGCAACATTTCTTTCAAGGGAACAGTTAACAGCAGCAATTTGCCAGCTGTGGAAATGTAATCCTTTTGATGAAATTTATTCTAAGCTCTGTACTGCTCTCGCAGATCTTGCAGCTGAACTTCCTGAAACTGAAAGGCATCCTGTAGTTCTTATCCTTGATAAGGTGCTTATTCTTTATTGTGTAAATTCCTCCTCAAAAGTTATGTTATTCAAAGAAAGATGAATATTTGAGAAGTTGTTTATGTGAAATGATCTGTTTGAATTACAACTTTGATTCTATAAAACTATGTTGTGCTTTTTCTGATGTATGAATAAAACTGTTTTAACCCTTCATGAATAGCCAGGGTGTTTCGCCAATGTGAGATGAGAGAGACTATCACAAATCAACTCTGTTACAGTAATATGAATAGGAGCACAAAAAATCAAAACTCTGAATCAAATCCCTAGCGAAAAATCTTCGAAAACATAAAAAGGTTGGCCTCAAGCACATCTACGCTGGACCTCAACAACTTAGAGGAATTGCCCAGCCCGCGGGCTTGACCCAGCATGCGCGCTCCCAAGTTAACCATTTAATGCAGCTTTAACTTTTTCATGTTTATTTTTAATTCTAATTTTATAATGGTAAGTCTTTATTTATCCTCCCCCCTCTTAAATTCCAGTAGTAATTATTTAAAAAATATTAAAATGGACCTGAATAATATAAAACAGGTGAGATTGAGCATTGTTTTTCCTTGAAACTTGAACTCTTTACTAATAAATTCTTTTTAAAATACATCTGAAAAAGTATTTAAGTTGCTTACGAATTTTTATAGATTATTCTGAAAGGGGGGAAACTATATGTAGTTGGACTAAACATAAATCATATAAAAACTATTTATAAGAAAAGAAGGAGCTAGAAAATTTAAAAGCGAGATGTTCTCAAATATAAATCACAGTTGATTAACATTATTGAAATAAAATTTTAAATGCTACTTTTAAAAAAGTAGCTTCTGCAATTTTAATGAAACTTCACATGCCAGGCATCATTTAAACTGCAGAATTAAATTATGGATTAAATTTCAGTTTGTCATTTCAAGATAAGTCCAATTTTATATCAAAAAATATCTTAGCACAATGTTATATACACTTTAAGTCACCTATTTTGAGACTCTAGAAATACAAATTAAAATTATAGGTAATTCAACTAGAATAAGTTTTATAGAAATGCTCTCCTTTTTCCTCTTCTTTTGAGCAGTATGCATAATGTATATATGTATATGAGATGCTTTTTCTTCATTACCTTTCTTAAATAAAAGTCTTGCCTTCTGCATGTTGTTTTGTTCAGAATATTCAAGGTTTGCCATGGGAATGTATGCCGATATTAAAGAATGTACCTGTTACCAGAATGCCATCTTTAAATCTTCTGAGTGTTAAACTGAATTCTCAGGAAGTTGAATCCATTATAAAGACTGGTATCAATTGTGAGAAAGGATATTATATTTTGAATCCTGGTGGAGATTTGATGGAATCACAGTCTTATTTTCAAACTCAGTTTGAGAAGTGAGTATCCTTTATATTATTTTTATTTCAAAATTTATTGTTGATTTAACAGCATATTAAAGCATTCATGATGTATTTTTTATCTCTTTAATGCTGTTTTACTATTAAAAATTATTGACGAATTTTTTAAATTATTCAATATTCTGGGTATGTATCAATGTATAGTTTCTTTTAAAAGTTCGTGCAGGCTTCCCACTCATGTAGAAAGTTAAAGTTCTTCCCAAATAACAAAAAGTTCATGTATAATGTAATATTCAATCGATAAAAAATGGCTGTCATAAACAGAAATAAAATAAAGATATACTGTGGGTTTTTTTTTTTTTTTTTTTTTAATTTCAGAAAATATTTTATTCTCTTTATATCTGGTGTATTTACTGTTTAAAAATGTGATTGCTATATTGTTACTCTCTTTAAAAGTGTAATTACCTTGCAGAATAAGTACTGTAATTTAGAAACCAACGTACTGAATTTGATTTAGAAATCACCCTACTGTTTAGATGTTTGCACTCTGCCCACAGAATTCTTTACCTAAACTTCATTTTACAGTCATTGGTCATAAATATATATTTCCAGCTACAAAAATGTTTTAAATGACAAATACTGATTTTTGGAATTTTCAAATTAAAAAAACTATATATGTTTTCCCTGGCCCTATACTTATGTTTAGGAGAGTGTTATACATTAAATATTATATACAGAGTTTTTGTCTCAGTACAACATTTCAGAACTTCTAAGAGGCGAAGAGTGCACCCGAGTGATTTGGAATCAAAAAGCAGTGTACGGTTGAAAATTATTTCCCAACGCGCTGGTGTACGCAGAAAGACACCAGGTAAGTTAATGTTTGTTTTAATAATAAATTTGTGTGTGTGAACAATAGTAACATGAGCAAAGATAGTGTTTGGAGCTTCATCCACCAACTTCAGTGCACTCCTCACATCTACAGCGCATGGAAATTTGAATATTTTGGAATATTCCAGACCTATCTCAAATTTCCCCGGCAGCTACTGAGATTTGTGCAGCCAGGTCCTCGGCATTGTCAACAGCTATGTCATAAACCAGTGTCTTCATATACCCCCATAAAAGGAAATAAAGACATGATAGTTCAGGTGATTGAGCAGGCCAATACACTAGACCACCACATGATATCCACTGTTGGCCAAATCTGACACCTAAGGTGGATACGAACATTATGGCTGAAATGGGCAGTGCCCCCCCCATCATCTTGGAACCATATTGTCTGTTGCATCAATGCAGAAATCTGTGCATCATTGAAAAGCTGTGGCATGACTTGCTGCAGAAAGACCAAGTAGTTACAACTGGATGGAAGAAAAGGCAATGGTAAGGTCAGATGAAGTGATCCTCCACAGATTTGGCCTAAATTTTAACCGAAATCTGACTCTGCTCTGCACTATGTTGTGTTGAATGAAGGTTCTCTACAACCCAGTGATGGGCATTATGTGCATGAATATTCCTTCCCTTGTGAAGGACGCCTCATTGGTGAACAGGAAAACGGGGATCTGTAAACAAGATTAGCAGGGAAATGGGGATCTGTAGCACACTCTTCAAGATATCATTTCACAAAAGCAATACAAGGTGCATAACTGCACTTCATATGCATGCCCGGTTGAAGTGCCTGAATATACTGCACTCAATATGGATGCATTTTATTTTCTCCGAGAATCCTCCAGATACTGGAATGGGAAATCCTGACTGCGTGCATTATATTTTATGTGCTCAAACTTGGAGTCCCCTGTACCTGCTGGAGCACATTCTCTTTGATGTCTGGAGTTTGTGCTGATCGTACCCAATTCATGGTAGCTTTATGAAAGGTACCTGTTTCAGCTAACCTCCAGTGTATTTACTGTTTAAAAATGTAGCCTTACACAGAAATTAAGACTGGGTATATATGCCTCATAGGATATCTTTCTACTTACAAATGTTGTGCGGCTGATGCACTACAGTCTGCAGCTCCATATGCCAAATACATATCGCCTAACTCTGTGTTTGTATAATTATTTATCGTAGTAACTCTGCGTCCTTGTGCGAAATGATGATTTCCTGCAAGAATTCTCAGAACTTTTTGCACAATGCCATCTACTGCGTAAAAAAGCATTTCAGACCCTGCATTGCTGTATGATTCCGAGTTGTTGGGGTGCATGTGTTACCCCTCCTAGAAGTTCTGAAACATGGTACAGAGACATGCTATATATGTGTGTATATATACATATATCTGTGAACTCTGTGTCCAGGAGATTTCTAAGTTGACGATACATATCTAGGTGACTAAAGTATTTTATTTAGCTATTGGTGGAGTTACATTAGTGACTATTTACTAATGAAAGAAAGAGTGAGATTGAAAGGTTACATCTTTGCTGTCTAATCATTACGTCTTAGTCGAAAGCATGACTGCTATCCTTCTCTCGATACCATTAGTCGTGTTGAGTTTTTGCACTCCTGTTACTCACATATATACACACACACACAAAGATTTATATTTATTTATAGATATTTCAGGACAAAAACAAATAATATGCTCACGCAGTGCCTGAGAGCAATGTAAAACTATGCAGTTCATGTTTCTTTCACTGTACCTTTGCCTTTCAGAACGCATGGCATAGTCCCATTCACTACATTCTGTTGATTTTCTTCAACACCAAATAAATTTTACTTTTTGAGAAAATCTTTCTTTGTATCTGCAAAAGTTTATTAAGTGGAGAGCATCTCACTTTCTCTCTCTATATATATATTTGTAAGATAAAAAATATGTAAATCAGCTTTATAATTTAATTTAATAGTAGCCTCTTAATTCCTCATTTTTAACCTGGGCATTTCATCTTTATTCTTTAAAAAAAATATCACTTCTGGACTGCATCATTTCTAAATAAATCTATGCCACAAAGCTTGCATAACGCTTATGATGTAGTTACTTCGGAACCTAAACTCTGAAATCTGAAACTTTCTAATGTAAAACAAAACAATTCTCTTAACAGACTGCCACATTGGATAAATGCGTACTTTTAGCTTCACCCTCTATGCTGCTTGGACGCTGCTGTGCTCTCTTTCTATCGCAATAATATTTTAAAATGTAAATGTTCTTGAATAGGCACTATTAGAGTGCCAAATGAATTGTGACTACAAATATGAATTTAAATAAAAATGGAATTTAATCAGGCTTGACTTCGTCCTCTTCAATATGGGTCGATGCTCTAAGCATCAAGTATCCATGCCAAACAACACTGCTACACTTCTACTTCTCAGTGTTCCTACATCAGTACTCCTAAAGTTTGCTTTCATTATATATATATAACTACTATATATATAACTAACTACTATACATATATATATAACTACTTATATGTTTAGTCAGATAGAATTTCAGGGAGAACCCTAAAGAGAGAAGAAATGTTAAAAAACTGAAGGCAGTTTTTTAAAATGGTTCTTGTTTTATATTTTAGGCAATCAAATTGGGAAGGCATTACAGGAAGACCACCATCTCCTACAGAATATATTTCAGCTCTGAGAGACTATGACTTATTTATGTAAGTTTTTTTTAAAATACATTAACTAAAATTTAATATTGTTAGATTACATATTTGGATTGTATGCCTTTGTTTTCTCCCCTTCCCCACAAAATTTAAATGTTAATGCTTTCATTAATTATTCAGCATTTTATATCTTCTATGAATGTGTTGTAGTATACCTTCTATGTAGGTAAACTAACAAAATTGCAATAAGTTAATTTGGCATTTGTCTTCTGTAGCAACTTTAATGAAAGAAAGTGGTATTTGGTGCAGTTCAGGAGTAAGAAAGTGCTATTTGTTGTGAAATATTGCAAATGTCCGCAAAAATGAAATTGACTTTTGTAAACGATAAATTCGCAATTCTTTCCATATACATACAACAAAGTTATTTAATGTACATACAGAGAAGGAATTTTATATAAATTTATATTTATTATACTATTGATTACAATTTTGCAGGCAATTGATTTAAAATAACATAATTCTGAACAGAATTTATTTAATAATATACACATTTATTTTCGCAAATCTTATACAATCATGTAAGCAATTCACTTAAAATAATAACATATATAAATATATGCCAAAAAATCAATTTATTATTAAATGTAATGAAAAATAGCCTTTTTTATTTTACTTCATATAAATTTGTTAGCAATTTATTTAAAAAAAAGAGAGAGAGAGAGAGAAAAGAAAAACTGTTGATTAACACAAAGCAGTTGCAAAAAACAAAGTTGTTAGTTGTTTATTTCTTATGCATGCATAGCTTGGCAATAGTTTATTTTACACCAAGACAGAAATACACTCCCTCTACCACCACCAAGGCAATGGCAGAACATGCGTATTATTACTTTTTTACAGGAGTAATACTGCAGATGCGTTTTATATACAGTCAAAAGTCGTTAATTCGGACACCCATAATCCAAAATGATCTATAGTCCGGACCTCAAAGCTACAAACTTCCTGAGCATGCGTCGCGTTGAAGCATGCGCGTAAGACTTTTACGGCTGCGAATATGTGTTGGCGCATGCGCGTAATACGTTTACACTTGCACATTTAATGTTCAACGGACGGTATAAGCTAAGCTAAAATTATCTAATTCGGTTAATGCTGCAGATTGCGTTGTACCTCAATCTTCGAATTGGATCCGGCTTATTATTTTTTGCAGACGGTTAGAGCAATTTTATAAAAGTAAGCTTGAACTTTCAATTATGCCAAATAGAATTTCCGATATATATTTACTAATACGTAAAGGATATACAAAGCGAAAGTATGTTTAGAAGTCCATTAAACAAAAAGTGGAATTGCTGCAAAAATGGATAAAGGCATATCCTTCGTTTCTCAAACCATTCCGAAATCTGTTTATCAATTTCACACTGCTCTGCGGCCCGGGCAAGGGGGGGAACGCCGAAACGCCGCGGCGCGCAATAAATTGGAAGTTAATCTGTCAGCACTATCCTTATCTTCAGGGCAGATGTTTTTATTTTATTTCGCTTATAATTCCTTACTAAATGTAGTATTTCATCTCGATGTACTCTGTCTTTGATATGATTTAAATCAAATTCCTCGTCATTATAATTCGCTTCCGATAAAGAAGAAAGTGATACAGAGGTTATTGAAAACGAAAAAATTTTGATTGACAAATTAGTCGGTATTCTCGACACAGCAATTATAGGACTTTAACAGCAGAACTTCGTAGCTGAAGAAGAAATTATGTCTGTTTATAGAATTAAAGAGAAAGTATTATCACATAAAACGAAGCAACTTAAACAACTTACATTGAAAGAAATGTTTAATAAAGTAAACAAATAAATATTAAGTTTTTTTTTTTTTGTAAATTTCGATACCCATTAGGTCATAATTGTTCTTTATTTCATAAATTACGGTTTCATATGTTTAATTTTATAATTTCCTGCATGCCATCTTACCATTTAAACTGATGATCTATAATTGGGAAAAATCGATAATCCGGAATTGCCGAAGTCCCGACGAGTCCGGAAAGAAAGTGGTATTTGGTGGGCAGTTCAGGAGTAAGAAAGTGCTATTTGTTGTGAAATATTGCAAATGTCCGCAAAAAATGAAATTGACTTTTGTAAACGATAAATTCGCAATTCTTTTCCATATACATACAACAAAGTTTATTTAATGTACATACAGAGAAGGAATTTTATATAAATTTATATTTATTATACTATTGATTACAATTTTGCAGGCAATTGATTTAAAATAACATAATTCTGAACAGAATTTATTTAATAATATACACATTTATTTTCGCAAATCTTATACAATCATGTAAGCAATTCACTTAAAATAATAACATATATAAATATATGCCAAAAAATCAATTTTTATTATTAAATGTAATGAAAAATAGCCTTTTTTATTTTACTTCATATAAATTTGTTAGCAATTTATTTAAAAAAAGAGAGAGAGAGAGAGAAAAGAAAAAACTGTTGATTAACACAAAGCAGTTGCAAAAAAACAAAGTTGTTAGTTGTTTATTTCTTATGCATGCATAGCTTGGCAATAGTTTATTTTACACCAAGACAGAAATACACTCCCTCTACCACCACCAAGGCAATGGCAGAACATGCGTATTATTACTTTTTTACAGGAGTAATACTGCAGATGCGTTTTATATACAGTCAAAAGTCGTTAATTCGGACACCCATAATCCAAAATGATCTATAGTCCGGACCTCAAAGCTACAAACTTCCTGAGCATGCGTCGCGTTGAAGCATGCGCGTAAGACTTTTACGGCTGCGAATATGTGTTGGCGCATGCGCGTAATACGTTTACACTTGCACATTTAATGTTCAACGGACGGTATAAGCTAAGCTAAAATTATCTAATTCGGTTAATGCTGCAGATTGCGTTGTACCTCAATCTTCGAATTGGATCCGGCTTATTATTTTTTGCAGACGGTTAGAGCAATTTTATAAAAGTAAGCTTGAACTTTCAATTATGCCAAATAGAATTTCCGATATATATTTACTAATACGTAAAGGATATACAAAGCGAAAGTATGTTTAGAAGTCCATTAAACAAAAAGTGAATTGCTGCAAAAAATGGATAAAGGCATATCCTTCGTTTCTCAAACCATTCCGAAATCTGTTTATCAATTTCACACTGCTCTGCGGGCCCGGGCAAGGGGGGGAACGCCGAAACGCCGCGGCGCGCATAATTGGAAGTTAATCTGTCAGCACTATCCTTATCTTCAGGGCAGATGTTTTTATTTTATTCGCTTATAATTCCTTACTAAATGTAGTATTTCATCTCGATGTACTCTGTCTTTGATATGATTTAAATCAAATTCCTCGTCATTATAATTCGCTTCCGATAAAGAAGAAAGTGATACAGAGGTTATTGAAAACGAAAAAATTTTGATTGACAAATTAGTCGGTATTCTCGACACAGCAATTATAGGACTTTAACAGCAGAACCGAACTTCGTAGCTGAAGAAGAAATTATGTCTGTTTATAGAATTAAAGAGAAAGTATTATCACATAAAACGAAGCAACTTAAACAACTTACATTGAAAGAAATGTTTAATAAAGTAAACAAATAAATATTAAGTTTTTTTTTTTTTGTAAATTTCGATACCCATTAGGTCATAATTGTTCTTTATTTCATAAATTACGGTTTCATATGTTTAATTTTATAATTTCTGCATGCCATCTTACCAGATTTAAACTGATGATCTATAATTGGGAAAAATCGATAATCCGGAATTGCCGAAGTCCCGACGAGTCCGGATTAACGACTTTTGACTGTATATAATTTCGCAAGTTTGGAAATAAATAATGAATTCTAGAATTATTCCTGAAATTTTGTTTTGGTGAAGGAGAAATTAAATATATATTTATTTCACTGTTTTCTTTTCAAAAATTTAAATAATGTAAATAATTTCATATATGTTTTTGCCAGAATGTATAATTCATACTCTAAAAATCATAAAATTTTGATATGGCAAAATAACAAAGGTGAAAACTTGCATCCCATATTTAATACCTGGCTATAAAATGAATTGTAAAATTTGCCTTATGTGTAAAGAAATAAATGCAAAACATTTTCATTTGTAAAGTTCTCCACTAAAGTTCCTCAGTCTGCTAAACAGATGTTTCTTCTGATACTACCTGCCTGTTCAACTAAAATATCATGATGGAAAAAGATCGCTTTTAATAGTATTTGTAGATTTTTCATTTCAGGTAAATCCCTGCTTTTGGAAATTTAACCTGCTCTCTTTTAAAATTAATATTGACTTTATGTCATTAGCATCTTTAAGAAGTATATTTGTGCAGAATTCTTAATACATTGAGTATCAATTACAATGCACCTCATAGTGTTTCTGTTTGCATTCACAGTAACAAGAATGCTGGTTTTTATTGATGATGAAGGAAGACGGGTTATTAAAAAAAGTATTTTTAAAAATTCATATAGCATCAAGAAAGAAACATATGGGGAAGAAAAACGGATTAATGAACATTAGCAAATCCAGAATTTCAGTTGTAATTAATACTTTTTGTTAACTGCTAATACAGTAAAAGCTTAACTATCCGGAAAGCTCGTGAAATGCAAAATATCGGGATAGTGGAGGGCATAAAAAAATAAAATTCATGGTATAAAGCTGACTCAATGGGAAAAAACTTACGCTGTAAAATTACAAAAATAATTATCATATTTGTTACCAACTTAAATATCAAAAGCCTACATTTAAGATTTCATAAGATTTCAGAGGGGGGGAAAAAAAACTTTTCAGTTATAAAAGTCAACTTAATTTAATTATTATGATAATTAGATAATAAAGGTATGCAAATTATGGATAGCATATAAAATACTTTAATCATTTAATATAATTTTTCACATCACTTCGCCATTGTTATCTGTTTTCAAAGTCGCATATTGCGGATGTTTTGTTGCCCGGATCCTGTAACTTAAACAGAAAATACTCCACTTCATGCAGCCTCAAATATTAAACATTTTTGCATAATGCAAAGAAATAATGAAACCTATATCTTTCTTTATAAAATTTAACTGGCTTATTGAGAATTAATAGAATCTAAAACCAAAACGATCTTCTTATGATTGTTTTGTGACATCATGCTTATCCACTTAATGGCAATAAATTACACTTGACAATGTATATGTGTTAATAATATTACAAGCTCTATCATGGCATTACAAATCTCTCATTTACTTAATGTTTTGAAGAAAAATTTTTTCTAAAATTTTAAAATGTTCCAGTTACTTGAGCTTTCTGGTTAATTGAGTGATGGATTTTTGCTGTACTATTGTTCCCGTATCACATGCACGAGATGAAATGGCAAATTTGTTTAGGAATTCAATTTAGGAAGCATTTTACTTTAAAGTCTTTTAAAACTGCGAATTTTTTATCTTTCTGTTAGGACATAAAATTTACTTTGAAAATTATTTACTGGCCAATATATCAATTTTATTTATACAAAATATTTTGATGCGTTTTTACATGATTTCTTTTCTTCTCTTATTTATACCTTATTGTCTGAACATTTCACTTTTTGTACTAGCATTATTTTCTTTATACGTTATTATGTTTAAAAAAATCTAGTTATTTCATATTCAGTAAATTTTGATTTAGTAATTGTTTAAATATGAGGACAGTGTTGCCAGATCATGCAATTTTTCTGAATTTATTACTTTTGACAAATCTCTGCTATTAAATTTTATGGTACTTAATGTATTAGCACAATTTGGTGATGTTTTTTACAGATGAAAAAGAATGCTGATATAAGCCATGATAAAAGTTACGTATCAATCGTACAAATAGGTGTTTTTTTAAAAAGATCAATCACACTTTTGATATTTATGTCAAGTTGGCAAACATTATCAACGTATAAAACAACTTTCAACATTATCTACTTTTAGGAATTTATAATACACATTTTTTATTATTTAATAAGATTCCCCTTTGAATATGAATTCTCCTCATATACACATATACACAGTGATTTCGTTTTGCTGAAATAAAAATTTGAGAATTACACAAACTTGGCATTGGTTACTTACCATGCAGCAATGCACTGCATTCCTGCAAAAATATTTCTGCATTATTTTCATTATTACCAAACTCCTCAAATGCATATTTTAAAATTGAGTTAAAGGCCAAATTCATTGAGTTTGTTTGTTGTTAAATTGAGTTTGTTTGTAAAACTACTGGAATTTTGATTACAACGGGGAAAAAAAAAACACACACAAATGAAAATTGCAACTTTGTTTGTCTGAAGAATTATTATGTAGCTTGAAATTTTCTTATTCACATGGTTGCTGGATCGGCTAAGGTGGTTGTGCTTATATGCAAGTACCAAATTTATAGCTATGCTATTTTATGAATTTTCTTCTATTCCATCATCATGCCCTTCTGCTAATTTTTCCTCCATTAAAATTTTTTTATCATAAAATATGTATATATTAATAAAATGTATCTGTAAAAATTAATTTATAATTAATTTTTAGAGATAATTTATATTAACTTATTAATAAATAATGATTTATGTAGGCCTAAATAAAAGCTGGCAACTGGCACCTTTGTATTGTTTCCCACAAATGCATATGCACTCAGTTTACAACAACTAATGGCAGATGTCTTCATATATTTGATTGACATTGATTGATTATTATTGTATTGATATATTGATTCATATATTTGATTGTTATATTCAAACATATTGATTCATAGACTTGATATACATTAGTAATCAGTAAGTAAGATTCCAAAGTTTGTCAGGCTATGGCTACTATGTTAGTTAAAGCATGAATAATTAATATTATAAAAAGTTCAGCACCATCTTTTGGAATGTTTGACTTAAAATACCCACATTTGGGAACTGATTAGAAAGGATGAAAATTGATGAACATAATGTTCATGTGTCTTATTGCAATCTATATAAGTGACGAATTGAGGACACATAAAAAAATGAATAAATGAATGAAATAAACCACCAACTCATAGTAAAACAGTATTAACAACTCAAACGTGAACATCTAACAATGGATATGAACAAATTAACTGAAGAATAATAACCTAGATTGAAAATTAATGAAAAAAAAATAAAGACTCAACATCAGAAAATTAGCAATGTGGGTTAAGGTTCTCATCAAAGCTAAAACATGTAACAGGGTTGCCACGCTACCTGGAAAACCGGAACAAGTTGGGGAATTCGGAAATTGACCAAAAAATTCAGGGAATTTAAGTGTTTTAGTCAAAATCTGGAAAAGTCAGGTAATTTCAGACAAAGATCCCGCCAAAAACGGCGAGTTTTACGCCGACGTTGGATGAGATCACTTTTTTGGCGAATTGTGTATCACGTGAGTGTCATTCGGGCAGCTGGCATAAAGCCAATTTTCGCATCTCCAATTTGATTGTCTTTTAGAAAGGCAAAGCAAGTTTCCCGCAACTTTTGGTTTCCAGTAACCTCGAGAATTGCATGTGCAGTGCATGAACTAAAGAAAATACCTGTTCTCGTATAAAACAAAATGGGTTTAATCCTAGTATACGGTACCATGAAGGTTAGAATCAAAAAATATGTATTGTAAAGAAGGAAAACCTCTTCAACAGAGGGAAACAGCTGTGCATGCGCGATATATCTGTCGCCAAAGCTCGAAACCGGTGTCGAAGTTCGAAGGTCACGTTATCAAGAGTTCATAAAATGAATACGTTAGAATTTCTTTAAAACTCTAAAGGAAAAGAAAAATTTTTTTGGCGCAAGTAAATTAATTCATGGATTAGTTATTATGAGGGGGAAAAAAAGTACAAAAATCCGTTTTTAAAATTATTGCGAAAAATCCAAGAAAAAATGTTCTTTGATAAAACATTTCTTTTCTCAATAATCTAGAAGCGGATTTTCGAAGTTTTCTTTTTTGTCAAAGAATGTTTCTTCTTAACATGTGTTTCTCAATTTCCTGTACACATCGCGGAGAGGGAAATTCTGGCCGCCAGGTTCCGTCGCCAAATCCCATGGCAAATTTTCACTCCGCTTTCTAGCGGCATAATGACATTTACTTGTATGGAACCTTTTCTTCTTTACGTAGACGTTCTTTGGTTAAAATAATCTTCATGTGTGGTACAGCGGGATTTGGCGACATGGTGATGAGCAGTGAACGAGTCATTTTGTTCTTGGCAACAATTTTCAAAATCATGTGAAGGCCGTACCATATACTAGGATTTTACCGCAATATCTTTTTTTTTTTTTTTTTTTTTTTTTTTTTTTTGTTTGTTTGTTTGTTTCTTTTTTTTTTAGTAAAAACCTTGTCATTTTGCAGTAAAATAAAAAAAAATAGTAATTAGTCATCTAGGCTAACTATATTCACTAAAATATCGTTGATTATTCTAATTCAATTTTTAAATAATTATCTTTATTTTTATGTTATTCATATCATTTAATGTTGCTTCTTCCCTCTAAATTTATTTATCATTAGTAAATAATATTTCCAAATTTCAGGAAAGTTTCTCTGGCATAATCCTGAAATTAATTCTAGCAGTATGATGACATCACGGAATTTAATGCACATATTTTTTTCCTTATGTATGCTGTGAAATAAATATAAAATACCTCAATTTAGTAAAAAAATATTATTAAATAGATTTATTTCTTTCATTTAGCTGCAGAATGTCTGCAAAAAAAGCCTTATTTTATTCCAGATTGGACAGATTCTAATCTCAATCTTCAGTGGAGAAAACAACTCCTATTATAATTATATTTGTGTTTTCAAGTGTTAAGGTGCCTTTTAAGAAGACACCTCACACAAATTAAATTTACCTAAAATCTAACCTAACTTTTAGCATTGCGTTGTGATTTATAAGAACCGGATTAGCCTCATGTTGAACTGGTGATGATCATGAGTAATAATTAAATAAAACGTACAATTGTTATCCAAGTATATCTTAAATTTTATTAAGTTTCTTAAGTGGAAAAGTAAACAAATTATCAAACAAAGTGTACGAAGAATAATTAAGAATAAATGTCCTCTGGGATTTATTGAATAATTAAGTTAATTTGCTACACAGTACAAGCAATACCGTAATTAATTTACCTCTTAGCACAGCCAACGTACATTACACGAATAGGCTGGAATTTTCTCGAAACATACCTGGAAAAGTCAGGGAATTTCATTCTCCTATTTGAGGGCAACCCTGATGTAATTAAAATGACCAAAAATCTAAACAATCCATAACTTGTTGCACACAGAGACTGAATTTATGATGAAGTCGGGTGTCATGTGAGCTCATGCATCTATGATGTTACAAAGACATCATGATATTTCTGACATCATGTACTAATTTTTAATTCTTCTGTTGCTGCTCTAGCTAAAAAATTTCTGGCAGCACTGTATGTGTATGTTGTAGTTAGTGGTTATGTACCAACAACCCACATTCAGTATGAAAATTAAAAAGAGAAAATTTAAATAAAAATCAGAAACACATGATCAGAAAATCAGAAAGACATCCCAAGATGGATGGTTCCAAGATGAAAAAACTGAATTGAAATTTGTAAACCGAACCTTGTATTTCTTTTCAGATATTGCGGACATGGAACTGGAAGAAAGTACATTGAGGGTAATGCTATTGGAAAAATCAAATGTCATGCCACTGCAATACTCATGGGATGCAGCAGTGGGCATTTAAAACGACTTGGAAAACAGTTAGAGGCAGATGGCATAGCTTTAAAATATTTATTAAATGGATGGTATGTACTATTTAAGTATCTTTTAAAAAGATCATGGCTGTTCAAACTGATGTTATTAATTCAGCAATAAAAAAATGAAAATATCTGTTCTTTTTTTATTAAATAAAAAACACCAATGAAAATAGAAGGCAACAGCAATTCACTACCCAACATTGAAAATGCAACACCAAGAAAGAGTAGCCCAAAAATTATGCAAATTTTAGGGTAGACGCACGTCACTGAGTTATGCGAATGATGTGAAATGCGCATCTCCAGTACACGCTGAAGAAGATACAACGGAGAGAACCTGCAGAATGTTCAATTTTCATGCCATCACTTCTGCTAGTGAAATCATCGTAGAAAATTTTGTCTCAGATGATGCATGTAATAGCAAAGAATGCCAGGCCATCGTCAACGGAGGCAGTTCCAGCAGACAGATGATTTAACGAGGGGGATGGTGATCGACCTGAAAAGGACAGGTTTATTCATATAACAAATCTTAGCTGACACACACCTGGATACGTACACAGTTCACCGGCTGTGGCAACGATGGTTGAACAAGGAAATGTGGCAAGTTCGAGGGGTGCTGGTGCAGACAGAGTGACGTCAGCATGCGTGGATCAACACATCCGCCGACAGGTGGTGGCGCACCCACAAGCCACTTCTACCTCCATTCTTCAGCATCTTCAAGACACCCTGAATGTTCCCATATTGATCAGAACCATTTGCTATTGATTGGTGGTTAGTGGCCTGCACTCGTGGCATCCATTAAGAAAACTGCCATTGACCCTACATTATAGATGACAACGTCTGCAATGGTGCCGGGCGGAACGATGAAATGGCACAAGGCCGTGTTCTCAGAGGAGTCATGCTTCTGTTTTTCCAATGATAGTCACCACATACAAGTGTATGGCATCCTCAGGACACCATCTGTAATCTCATTGACTCTATACCTAGATGTGTTGCTTCGTTTATTGTCGTGTAATGTGGTCCTGCAACCTACTGAGCCAATGCTGTTCTCGCTCTGTATTATGCATATCATTTCAAAATAAAGATCACTTATTGTTCATTGCTGCCTGTTTCTGTTTACCAAGTTTCATCAATTTCTGGCCACTCTTTCTCGGTGTTGCATTTTGAATGTTAGATAGTGTAATACAAAACAGCCTATCATCTTTTGTCAGTGGCTTCAGTGGCTATCAGTATTGGAACTTTATATTAAATACTGTATATTAACTGGGTTATAACTTACAACTCTACATGAAGCTATAACACTAACTGGGTTAGGCAAAGTGCAACTAAATTTCAACACTTAGCAACAACAGGCATTCACATTCATTCTGATCAGCGGCTCTTGGTGTCTAAGGAAGCAACTGTGGTGGTAACAACCAAACTTCTGTAATGAGTCATGCTGATTATTATTTTACTTCAGTTTAGTTTGTCATTTGACTTAAAATCGCATATACCTCTGGACTGAGCGAGTACATGATTAAAAGTATAAAAGAAAGAATCAATATAAAGCTAACTGTTAGTATAATTTAAGTTGCTAATTTTTTTTTTAAATATATGGGACTATTATAAATGTAAAATAGAAATGCCAAGAAATTTTATAATTTAATGCTAATTACTTGGAAAAAAAATTTGGAGTTAATTTTGTTCTTGAATTTGTTTTATAATTAAGTTAGACATAAGATTATGTTTAATAATAATGTATCCTACTTATAGATTTATTTCATTCTTACAAATTACAAAAGTAAAATTCAGATGTAGTTAATCTGTTCCTGTTCCCTTGATGGGTCCTTAATTTTTACTTCCTTGTACGAAGTAAAAAGGAAGTATAGTAATTGAAAAAATTTCGGGTATCATATTTCAAGAAAATATCCATTTTGACCGCTTTCAAATGCAATTAACAATGTTTTTGCATAACATCTGTACGTAAGAACAGGATAAAGGACACTTTTATCCCAAAACAATTATAAAACTGATTTAAAATGAATTCTGAAGAGATTTGTTAGTGGCGTCTGTATGTACGTATATATATCACACAACTCGAAAACTAGTAGCCTGAGAAGATTGAAATTTTGTATATAGGACTGCTATAACATGTAGATGTGCACCTTCCATTTTGGCTGCAATCGGCTGCACCAAAAGTATATAAATAAATGTATATATATATACACATTCTGTTACTCGGTTCAGTGAGTTCAGTTTCTTTATTCTTATATGGTTGTAAATTGATCATTTTTTGCTTTAAAAATGACTGAATTATGTGGCTAATCTTCCATAACTGGTGTAAGTTGGCGAATTTTTTTGGCAGCAATGAGAGCACTAAGATGTGATTTTTAAACGTAAACAGAATATTAAGTTTTAAGTTTTGCAGTAGTGATATGCCGCTATTTTATGTATTTTATGTAATAGAATAGTAAAATGAGATGATAAAATACTAGATGAGTAAAACGAAGTCCATCAGCTTTGCAAGTAAAATGAAAGTCCTATCTGTGTAATTCATGATAAAATAGTATAATGAATAATAAAATAATAAATTGTGTAATACTCTCCTCAAACTCCAAACTTGTCAACCAAGTAAATATATTCAAATTCACTATCAACAGATGCATCATAAACTTATTAAAATATATAAGTTACTATTGTTGTGAAATTCAACACACTAAACAATTTTTGTTCAAAACTTTAAACATTCCACCTCCTTCGATTGCCACATGCAAGAAACAAAACTAAAAAATAATAATTAACTGACCCAGAAAACATAAACTAAAAAATTAAATGAAAACATCATAAATTATAAACCTCACATCATTTGAAATCCAACATTCTCACACCACCAACTGCTTAACCTCCTGCAAATATTAAACAGTAAAACTTTTGAAAACAAACTCAGTATTTCAAAATTAAATTAAAAGGAAAAATCTGCTGGCTAATCTAAACTTGCACTCATTACAAGCACTGAAGTAAAACTCTAGATTTGCCACAGGAAAACATACAGCTGGAAACGACAACCAAATCAGAATCGCGCCAAATTAAAAACTCTCGCTAAGTTTGTTGCTCACCCCGATTATGGAAGATTAACCAATTTTTTTGTTCTGGTTAAGATTTTTATGCCTTTAGTTAACCTGTATGCAATATATGTGGAATTATCAACAAATTAAAAGTTTTTTAAGTGCAGCTAAGCCTAATTTTTTGATTACCTTAACAGCCATTTTTATTAACATTTGAAACTTAGCAGAATAGTAGATTTGTTGTCAATCTAGAAAAACTAAGCTTCACAACAACAAAATAATGTCTTCTTTTATTATTGCGAATTAAATCGTGCTTAATTTATTCTGGAATTATCATTTAAGTTATTAGCTTGTTTTTGCATAGAAACTGTAATTTATTTGTAAAAATTGTTTTAACTCCACTTGGTGTTTTTATATTTTTCTATATCTTTCAAATTTTTATGAAAATATTTTGAATTTTTACGTATTTTTTGCCTTCCTACAAAGTGAGAACTGAATTAATTAATAGCGCTTGCGCATTAGTTAAGTGGCGCTGAATTGTCTGCTGGAAAACCATTTCTTTTATATGACATTTTAGATTTATTATAGTATTTGAACAGAACTTGTGGTAATTCTTTAGATGATATAATTTTTGTGCACTTTAAGTTATAAAATGAATGAGATGTAATGCTGTTACTGAAGTGCCGCTATGGTAAATAAATATAGTGAACTTTAAAGAGTGCATTTATTCTATTGTGGTTTATGGGCTATCGACAAAGTAGATTTAATTTAAAATTCGTTAACTGTTAGTTCAATATGTTTACATGACATTCAGGAAAATTGCATATAATTTAATATTCCTTACAAGGAAGTCATGTGGTGTATATATCATATTTTTTTCATTGATACTCCTTAAAATTACTTAACTTCCACATGCAGAAGTATATACGATATCTGTTCTTAGTGCAAAAATTCATAACTGTATTTGTTTTTTGACAAGCACCAATAATAGTTAATCAAATCTGTATCATCAAATTTTGAATAAGTTTTATTTCACGTTGTAAATTAATTAGCTCCATTAGTAGGTTTTTCTAATGCATTATTCATGTTTGTTTTTAATAGAAATTAATATAATAGAAACTCTGACTTCAAATAAACTACAATCTTGAACCTTTGCAACAAATGCATTCACGGGCCACACAAAATTCCTTCGTGGACTGACAGTTTGAGATCACTGGTTTATTGTACAGCAATGTCAATAAACTCTTAACAAATCAGCTACCTTTATTTAAATTAAACTGTCCAGTTATCTTAGTTAATGCAGTATTTTTGTTTTAAACCTTAATTTTTTTAGGGATGTTGGTTAATTTAAAAGAAAATAGCTCCTGCCTGCTTTCTGTAGTTTAAATAGTTTCTTCTGGCTAGTTTTTCTCCACTCAGCCATAAACTCACCTGGACTGATCATACTTTTTACGTCTGTGGAAAGATGAACTCAGTAATGTATAGCCTTTACCCACTGCTTGGTTGTCACTCCAACCTTAGCCCAGAATTTAAACAACACGTCTATAGTTCAATTATCAAGCATACTATCACTTACACCTCACCAGCTTAAGCTGCAATCACCCCAGCAAATTAAAAACATTGCAGACACTACAAAACGGTGTTTAGAATCATCACCAACTTTCACTACATCATTTGCACAGACATTTTACATCGGAACCACAAAATCCCCTGAATACACAAGACCCTCTAACATCTGAACAGTAATTTCTACCAGAAAGCTGTGAACTGTCACACAGTAAATTATTCTGAAATCTGCAAAGTTTTAGAAAATGACAAGCTCTTAAGACCATATGCAACTCATCTCTGGGAGATGACAATTTTCTGATATAGACTTTAATAGATTTCTTTGTCTCTGAAGTGATAACAGACGTTTTTCAGACTTAAATGCAAAAGTTTAAATAGTGTATATAGTGCAGATTGCTTATTTTATTATCGACTCTTTGTTCTATTTACTGCATTTTATGTATTTATTTGCATTTGATCTGTAAGGACTTTGAAAAACCCCTTCAGTATGAACTTTCTGAAGAAACTCCAATCACATAACCAGCAACAGTCACTTGTTAAGTTCCCACAATGAAGCTTATTTCTTAGCTCATGTCGTCACATGACTTTGCTCTGATTCTAGCATTCTGAAGCGAGAATGGACTTATAGTAATTCAAAGGTACCTGAGTAAATAATGTTTATAGTATGCAATGCTCCTTTTCATTTTTATTTTAGGCTTTTATTAACTGCTTATCGATTCTGCATTCACTCTGTTTACATATGATCTGCAAAGCCTTAAAAATCCCACTTCAGGCTACTCTTTATCATCACATGACCAGACAGACCCAACAGCTAAACTTTCTCCATGCACTCTCCTCGTTGACGAAGTTGACCCATGCGACCCGTTACTCCACTTGCTCTAGATTTACTCTCAAGTCTTCATTTTAGTTCAGCTACTGCCCCAGCATCATTGCAGTGAGTCTCTATATGGTAACCAACTTTTACTTCCTTTTTCTGTGCCTCCACATTGCTTCTGTCTTTTGGATTCCACCAACCATCATCAGAGTTGATAATGTCGCACTTTGCATGATAAATCAATCATAACTCAATATTGGTATTGCTATTGGTTTTTTCCTATTGCCAGTCTGTGTTAAATGCAACTGAAGTATTACATTGAGAACTACACATACTAACTGTCCTTCGTGAAGGACAAGCTTTACAGTTTCTTAATTAGTCAAATATTAAGAACTTGAACATAAGAATAATTTTAATGTTGTGTTCAAATCTTAAGTGCTATATAAATGAGATTTTTTAATCATTTAGTCCAGAGGTTCCCAACAAGGTTGATATTCACCCCTGGGGATTAATAGCTTCCATTCATAACAATATATATATATATATATATACACACACACCATATATTCTGGCATACAATGCACATTATTAATGCTATTTATTAGAAATGACATAGCTTATAAATGTAAAAATTTTCATTATTGGATAACATGAAAAGTTTGTCAAAATTCGTTTTCCATCAAATCTTCAGACACATCATCGAATTCTGTTTCATCTTCACCATCACTGTTACTCTGAATAATAAATAAATAATCGTCTTCCATTCCATTTAGATTATTAGAAATTCTACATTTTTCAAATGGCTTTTGAATTACATTGGGTTTAATTTCATTCCATGCTTTTATTACTCACGCGCACACTATTTATAGACTGGCATGATGCATTTCCCTCATTTTGTAAACGTATTTTCATCTTCTAATACCTTCTAACATCATTTCACTGTCATTTTAAACTTTCTTTGAATGTTTTATTGATACACGCATCTAAAGGCTGAACTAACAGCATTAATCTGCCTGGAATAACAGCCATGCCTATATTACACTCTTTAAACAATTTCTTCATTTTTCTGTGAGATGGGATTTGAACATGTTCCAAACTAAAAGACTTTCTGGGTTCTTGCAGCAGGATGATTTTGCCAAACATTTCTGATCCACAGTTTCATCCATCCTTCCTTGTTGAACATGAATGAAAACATCATTTTGGAAATTAACATTTTGGTATAGTCTGCCTATTAAAAATAACCATAGGTTTTAATTTTTGTACCATCCACTAAGCATATCAAAGCACTATGGTGAGGTGAGATTTTTCATGACCTGTTGCTTTATATAAAACATTTTTGGGCCTTTCACATCAGTCTCACATATTGTTTCCCTTATTCCTTGTCAAATTGGTATATCATTATTCGAACGCCTGGGAAAAAACTTCGAATGAATGACTTAAAAAAAATAAGAGCATTGCACATGTATCTTTTGTCTCCTTAAAGAAAAGCATGCACGTTATACGGCAAATATACCTAAAAATTAATAAAGGTAGTTTGAAATTACAGGTGCTTGTTATATGCTGGAATATATGGTAAATAAAAACTGATAATTTTTTATTCATGTAAAGCTAGATACAACAAAGTCTTATACAAAACAAAATGTGTACACCAGCTTTTGGAATTAAAAAATCATTAGAGAGAAATATCCCAAAATAAAAGTTGTTGTTGAACCAATATAATTGACCTTTCCATTTTCTTTCTTAATGAAAGCAGGCTTTAGTCAAATCAATAATTTACTGCAGGAAACATGTTGAATATTTTTGGATGAGGTTATTTAAGAATTACATAAAGAAGTTTTACCAGCATCAATACATAAAGTGTAACAATCATATTAATTTAAATAAAACTTCTGTGAAACTAGAATCCATATTTTTGTTTGCGAAAACTTGTTTATATTTTTAAAATTAAAAATAATACAAAAAAATCAAAGGGTTTAGATTTTAACAGTTGCCCCAAAAGGTAAAATTTAATATATTGATAAAATATCTACGCTGATAAAGCGTAGATATCTCTAGCCTTGGTGAAAAAGTGAAATATTTTATAGGATACTAGATGAGCATATATTTAGACTAACATGGGAACATTACATATCTTCTGTGTCTTGTGTATGTTTGAAAAGTGAAAAAAATGTATTACATGCACTTTAATTTAATTAAATTTATTGATCAGTAGCAGTCAGATCTTAGAAAATGACAAGCTGTTAAGATCAATGCACCTCATCTACTGGTGGATGACAATTTTCTCACCTATACTTTGATATATTTCTTTGTCTCATGAGAAGTGATAATGGGCTTTTTTGAGATTCAAATGCAAAAGTTTAAATAGTGTATATAGTGCAGATTGCTCATTTTATTATCTACTCTTTATTCTATTTACTGCATTTCATGTATATATTTGCATTTGATCTGCAAGACTTTGAAAACACACTTGAATCTTGAAATTTGAAAGGTAATAGAAAACTGATAATCTTGAAAATGGGTTGATGGAAAAGAAAGGTTGTGAATCCCTAATTTAGTATACAGGGCTGTTTGCACATTTTTTAGACGAAAATATAGAATTAGAACGCACTGCAGAATTCTGCATTTATCCGGACAAAATTGGAAAAATGTTTTTACTGTAGATGGTGTATTTAAATTGATTGCAATAAAAAGAGATCCATTTATTATCATCAAAGAGAAGAAACCAATCTCAAAACATGGCTCAAAGAATCTAAGAAAAAATAAAGAGAATGGAGGAAATTGTTAAGATCAGGTCCATATACTATCAGGAACATATTTTATACCCAGTTTTCAAATATGAAATATCTTTTCATTACCCACACAACGATCAATCAATAGAATTGCATTAAGGCAAAGCAAGCAGTCACATTACTGTCTTGGAAATTACAGTGTAGAAAGATAGTAAAGAATAAGGGTTATCAAATAGAACATTCGAAATACTAAAATTTTAGGTATTTTTGCACATACAACAAAAATTGTCTAAAAAGTGTGTGAACAGCCTCTGTACCAACATTTGCTTTCTAAAGTCTAAAATTTTTTCTTTTATTTCAGCCCATGTGTTGTAGGTAACTTATGGGATGTTACTGACAAGGATATAGACAGATTTACAGAGAAGCTGATCAAATTGCTGGTGCCAAATTATTCCAGCAATGAGAATTCGACTGATGTCGCTCATGCAACATGTATAGCTCGAAATGTTTGCAGGTTAAAGTATTTAGTGGGTGCAGCACCCATTGTATACGGATTTCCTATTTCTGCAAAAAAATGAGAATTAGAAGAAGTTCCCACAATTCATGTTATCAATAACTATAATTTTTTTTTTGTATGTCTTAAAATTCCGTATTTGTATGATGTGTAATAAATCATATTTTAATATGTGTGACCGACTGTTGCAGTTTTTAACTGTATATATGACTGCTAAAACTTACTTTTTGGCAGACTTTAGTCCACAATTCATGTTATCATTAACTATAATTTTTTTGGCATGTCTTAAAATTCTTCTGTATTTGTATGATATGTAATAAATTATATTTTAATATGACTGACTGTTGCAGTTTTAACTGTATAATTTGATTTAACTGTATATATGATTGCTAAAAATTACTTTTTGGGCAGACTTTAGTTATATTTTTAACATTCCAGTGAAGTTCTTTTTATAAACAGAAACTTATTTTATACACATACAAGGCGATCCAAAAGTCTAAACTTTTCAAAACAATTCTATTTCAGTGCAATGTGGTTGGCACACACAGATGTGCTATGGATGGATGCTCACTATGGAATGTTTTTATGCAAATATTTTAACCACTTATATTTCCCAGATGATTCTTCATAAAGCAGTGCAAAATGCATCAGAATAAATGCTGAATGTTACAGCCAGTTTACTGAGTGCTGTTTGATGATTAGTGACATTCCTGTGATATCAGTACCTGCATATAGTATGTGACATTTTTTATTGCCAGTGATTTATGTATAACATGATTTCTAATCTAAGTCAAAATTTAAGCTGTCAGGTTTTTATATGACTGTTCATATTAAAAATAACAGCTTCTTATTACATTATAGCCAAAATTTGAGGAAAACAACTTGGAGTAATAATGCAACTAAAAGAAACATCATAAAATCCAATATTTGCTTTTTTTTCCCAATTTTCAGAATAACAACAGATAAGCAAGATGCTGACATTTGATAGTCATAATTCAGAAATAGCATCATATCGTCAAGTACACTGTCATCTGGTGAGCATAACTCCAATTAAAAATTTATAATCTCTATTTTAATTTTTTCTCTTAATTTACTGATTTTTGGATTATCCTGTGAATTGCAATACTTTCAAAAAAAAAAATAAAAGTGAAAGTTTTTTATTTTAAATTTTTATCAGCAATTCAAATTTTATTATAGATTTAAAATTTTTGTATTAATAATTAAATATATGAATCTAATAAAAACAGAAAACAATTTTTACTGTGTAGAATGCGTAATTGGATTTTAGGCAAAAAGGCAATAGTCGTATTTAAATATAATTATTTTTAGATGAATTTTTTAATATGTTAATTTTCCTTATTTCTTTCCCTTAGAAAGCTAAAAAAAATTTTCCAGAGGAATTACATTTTTCATTAAAGAAAAGTCAAATTAATACATTATGAGCGAGGCAGGTATTTGTACCCGTTGCGAAGATTGCCACTTGTAAGCAGGGCAGGTATTTGTACCTGTTGCTAGGATTGCCACTTATAAGCAGGACAGGTACTAGTACCCGTTGCGAGGATTGCCACTTATAAGCGGGACAGATATTAGTACCCGTTTAAAATAAGTAATTTTAAGTGACACAAGGGAAAAATAATGTTTTATCAAATATATGACTACGTCTCAAAGAACGTAAAGTGAGATTGAAAAAATTCCGTCTATCTATATTTTAACCAATAATATTCTTCGCAGCCACGTGTTTCCACAAATTCGTTTTATGCGATGTTGTATGTTTATAGTCTATTAGTGGAGCAGCTCGTAGAAAGAGATACATGTAACGTTGATATTGTGTAGGCGGTTGATACCACCTTCAATTCAAAGACAATGGATTCTAATAGTGATAGTGATGTATATGCAAATGACTTGTCGCAGATTTCAAGTGACGCGGAATTTCCTGATTTAGACAATGAAAGTGATGAGGAATTATTTCAACCTAGAAGAAATCGAGTTTTGCCAATACCATCATCTAGCGACTCTGAAGACGGTGATGACGAAGTCAACAACATATATCAAAGTCAACAAAAACAATGGTCAACAACTGATAATGTACCAATTCCTCGGACAAAGTGGAGTTTTTGTAATGCCAGGTAATTCAGAAAGTGTAATAGATGTGGTTAAGCTATTTATTGGAGATGACTTATTTGAGTATATGGCAACAGAAACCAATCGGTATCACGAACAAAACCCAGATGCATCTCGAGACAGAGCAAAATCTGTGAAGTGGAAGAATGTGAATATGGTACATTAAAAAAAAAATGCTCAGACTACTTCTCCTAATGGGACGAGTTCATAAAGATACAAGAGACGAATATTGGTCTACAGATAAAACTATCCAAACTCCAATTTTCGCGGAAGTAATGAGCAGGGATAGATTTAGACAGATATGGTATGCGTGGCATTTCTCTAATAATGATGACAGAGATGACAGAGATCGCCTGAAAAAAATCCGACCGATTATATCTTACTTCTTACCTAAATTTCAAGAGGTTTATAAGCCAGAGAGAGAGAGTTATCACTGGATGAGAGCATCATGCCATGGAGGGGCCGTTTGTCATTTAAAGTTTATAATGCATCAAAAATTATAAAGTATGGTTTACTTATAAGAATGGTGTGTGAAGCTAAAACGGGATACATTTGTAATTTTCGCATGTACTGTGGTGAAGGAAGTCGTTTGCAAGAAACGATTTTAAATCTGCTTGAACCCTATTCCAACTTATGGCATCACATATACATGGAAATTATTACAATAGTTTTTCCACTTGTGAATTAAAAAAACATCAGAGAATTGCACAAACTAGGCATTGCGCACTTTCTTGACTTTATCCATGTACGCATCGACCAATTTTCACTTAAAAAGACGTAGAAAATGGACAAAAATCCAGTTCTTCTTACTCTTGTAAAAAGCGCGAAACAAATAAGTGGGCGATTCTGCACTTTAGCCTATGTATATATTATCGGGCTCTTTTATTTTGCTCCCGTTGAATTAGAAACAACGGCCTATGATTCTAATGGCTTTATATTTTTTAAATGTTTATTGTATTGTTTTTTGTATAGTTTTGTTCATAAGAAATTCGACAGTAATATATTATTTTTATAAAACAAGTGAGTCTTGCATAATCTCACGAATTCTGAAATATACTTATCAAATATAAAAATATAAATTAATGTATATAAAATATAGTTCCAGATAAGACCCATTACCAAATTTTGTAAAAATCTAACCATTACCTTTACGTCTATCAAGTTTATATTCACACGCATATATTTCGCTTAGCTGGCAAATTAGCCCACTACGCAGCACTGTGCTGCTCATGATATCGGACCGCTCATAATGTGTTAATTGCATAGACTTTTGGTGTTAGCATTTTTTGACCAAAATGCACTGCATACAAAACCAATGCAATTAGTTATAATAAGCCCTGTTTAAATTAGTGATATGGCTAAATTTTCAACACACTGTCCCTTAAGCCATTCTGTCATTGTACATGTATTCTGTATGTATAAGAAAAAGCTGTTATTAGCCTTTACTTAAATATCAAATTAAAATTTTTTCTTTGATTTAGTATGAAAGAAATTAAATATTCATTCAGTTTAATTGTTTTTACACTCATGTCCATAAATTAATGATAATTCGGAGTCACTCGGAAATCAAACTCTAAAATAAATATATCACCTGTAAAATCACTACACACATCTTCAAGAATCATATGCAAATTCCAGTGTAACCAGATGACACTGATGGTATGTCACAATGACGAGAGTGTAAGAGAGTGATATATAAGGAATACTGGCAAAGAAGTAAATTTGCTCGCAGGCACTTTATAAGCATTTCAGTGCAATAACCGAATAGTTAAGACACAAAGGAAGCATTTGGACGATTTTTTACGTGGTAGAATTATCGGCTGTCTGGAATGTAGGCGTATCCAAATGGAAGTATCAGACTAACTTGGAATTGTCCAGAGTGTCATCTCCAGGCTTTGGCAACGATTCCAAGATGATGGTAATGTGAGTAGACGTTACAGCACAGGTCGCCCCAGAGTTACAACGCCGAATGAGAACCGGAATTTGGCAGTTACTGCCAAAAGAAACAGGCGGAGCACAGTATCAGACCTGCCTCGTCAGCTCTCTTCAACCACTGGTACGACAATTTCAAGGCAGACTGTGAACAGACGCTTAGGGCAGATTGGTCTATATGCTCGTAGACCTGTCACATGCGTTCCACTTACTGCAACTCACTGTCGCCTGTGGTTAGCCTGGAGTAGAGAGCATGCATTGTGGACACCGCAACAGTGGGCTTGTGTGATGTTTTCTGACGAGTCCAGGTTTAGCTTGCAGTCTGATTCTCGCCGAACTTTCATATGGAGAGCTTTAGGTACCTGTTACTACCAAGAAAACATCATTGAATGACACCGTTACGGTGGTGCAGGAGTGCTCGTTTGAGGTGGGATTATTCTGGGTTCCAGAACTCACCTGCATGTTCAAATTGGAACCATGACACCCAAATCTATCAGGACATCATTCTGGAACAGCACGTACGTTTGTTTCAGGGCACCATGGGCGCACAATTTGTGTTTATGCATGACAACATTAATTTATATTTGCCCGTCCTCACCGTGCAAGCATCATAAGTGAATGCCTTCAATCGGAGGATATCCCCCGTATGGACTGGCCAGCATTCTCACCGGACTTGAATCCAGTAGAGCACGTGTGGGACATGCTTGGCCGACGAGTTGCAGCCCGTCAACCTCCTCCTACATGTCTACCGGAACTTCGAAGAGCATTGCTTTTTGAGTGGTGTAATATCCCCCAAGATCAGATCGATAATTTGATACTCAGCATGCCTAGGCGTTGTACGGACTGTATTGCATTGTCTGGGAGACATACAATGTATTAACAATCATACCAACCATGTAATATTGGTTTCTTGTAAATAGGTTTTTTTTTTTCGTAATTTGCTCCAGGGAGAAAAAATTGATAATTTTTTTAATAATATCAAACATATAGCATCTTTTTTTGCTCTTTACTTTTTGTTTAATAAATAATCTTTACAAAAAAGTCAAATTTGTTTTGCTTCTAACTCTTCCTTTACCTGATTTTGCATTATCCTTAATTTATGGACATGAGTGTAATTTAAAATAATGCAACGCTAAAATATATTGTAAGAATATAGGGCAGGAGGTGACAGGGAAGTCATATTGTGGGGTATGTGAAAGAGAAGAGGATAGAAGCCCCTCATCTGAGAGTAATGCTGAATTAATACCACTGTTAATTAACATTACTGTGTGGATATGTA